ACGAGCGACCATTGCACTCAGACTTCGTCTGCTTGCTTCATGAGCAGTCGCAATTTGATTCATACTTATTCGGTTTGGTATCCAGTCACGATCAGACCTTAACTGCTAACGGTCCAGTTAGGTAGCACAGCTTCAGAGAGTACGATAATCTGCGAAATACGCTCTTTTGCATACCGGACGTGGGCTGTCTGAGAGTTTTCAGTAACCTTATGAGTAGTGTATTACGTCGATACAGCAATCTATTTTGGGACCAGCAGCTGAAACAAATGATTTGGATGCCTACTTCGAAGACCGTGATTACAGGTGCAGGTATCCTGGTCGAGCAAGGTTACAAAAAGATGTCAGGTAACGATATACATCCTGCTCCTTCTAGTCCATATTGTGACCCCCTCATCGGGGGGGGGGGGGTTAATTTTCTCGGATTTTTTCATTGACGACTTATGGTGAACATCTCGAGATACAAACCACCTAAAGACCTCAAATGCTGTTCGGTGAGTACGACAATTTCAGCGTCTCTCGGAGAAAAAAGTGCAGAACTTAACCATTAGTTTAGGGACATAGATACACAGGCCCTGAAAAAGCTTTCGTAAGTGAGCCCATTTGTGTTAGTGCCGGCCGTCAGTGGATCAGCTACTTTGCCCCAAAATAGAAGCGTTCTCTTAACCCAGCAAATGCATCGTCTCTCGGAGTTTGTTGCGCTGCCCAGTGTTGTTCCTGTCATCGAGCTGGAATTTTATTGACATTGTTATCCCTTCTCTATACTGTTTTAGTAACTCAGGTGAATCCATCGCGGGTACCACGGTCAAAAACGTGAAACTGTCCTGGACTGTGGTGGTCAAAAGCAATCCAGGCTGAATTAACATGTTCTAGCGCACAATCATTTTTATTGCTGGCACTTGTCGGATCTCACACTTTCTCATTAAAAAGGACTATCTTTGATCGGATGACTGAGGCTTCCCAGGAAGAGAGACACTCCTTAATTGACGAAATACGTTCATTTGGAAATTAGGATGTTGTCGACGGGGAGCTCGACTGAATCCCAACTGAATCAGTAACCTTATGGTTATTGTGTTCGATCAAGCCCTTCAGAAGCGAATTCTCATTTTTGTTTGTGCTACACGAGCCTGAAACTATATGTTTTGCAGACGTTTGCAGGCCAGAGAACAAAAAGTCGGTCCGAAATAACTAAAATGCCGAAATCATTTTTTAAACACTCGTCTCTTTGTGAAGTTGAGTGGTAAACGTCCTAAACTCACTGACTTCTGAATGCCGTCACCGGAAACCACTGATGATTGGACGTTTAACAACCTTGATATTTTGAAGTTTTTCCTCGAAAATGGATGACATCTATGGTACTGCGTAAGTTTCTAAAAAAAAATTTCTTCATTTGCGCACGTTGGAATAATCATTTCGAGGTGAACTTGAGGTGGACGGAAACTGGGGTACTGATGAGCATCAAGAAGGACTAATCCGATCTTGGGTTGTCCAACAGTTTTCAGAAACCTTATAAGTAGTAGTGTGCTTCGTCAAGTGTTATGCATTGTGTAGTAGTTCTGTTAGGCTTTTCGGATTCGTGACAAGTGCGTTTTCATATACGCAACCCAAGCTGACAGACCTGCAAGCTAAGTGTATGGGAAAGCCAGTTGATTGCACACACACCTACGCGGTGAGAATCGCAAGTTGCCTGACGTTCCAAGTCTAATGAAGCAACGACGGTGAGTTATATGGACACCGCGTTAGCACGAGAATCATGATAACTATCCTATGGTGCCCTAAGTATTCATTTCACAGCTTAGATAGACTGTAGTATTTCCACACACAGTATCCAATCTTCGACGCTGGTGGTATAAAACCTGAAGCAATCAGCGTTTCCCAAAAGACAGAAGATGAAACCCTGACAGTAGAATATCTGCATCAATAGACACAATGTGTTCGAGACACTTGAAGCTCTACGTCAAAAAGGCGTCTGACTTTCAACTTCTAAAAAGAACCTGGTGAGCCAACTGTTTGAACAGCTTCAGAGAGCCAACAGATCTCTGTCTCGTAACCAACCTACAAGTTTCATTAAAAAAGCTGAGTAGCACATAATATGAAGGACGTAACGACATGCATGCGGACTTTAATCCTACTAAATCGCCAAAAAGTCGCGTATCGGTGCTGGAAAGTCACAGTATACCTCGTTGCTATGTGCACATGGGATGGAGTACAGGTTGTGCGGTGCTTCCTCTAGGTGTTCTACCAACCCCTATCCCCATGAAAGTCTTCAGAAGCAAAGTATTGATCAATTACATGCTCGACAACATCTGACTTTTTGAGACTCATGCAACATATTGAAGAGTATATTTTGCCCTCCTCGAAGAAAACTACTCATGAGGTTACTGAGGACTCTTCGACAGTTCACCACTAGTTTCGTTCTTCTTGTGGCTAATCAGGATGTCGCGATTCCCAAGTTTCCGTCAGCCTCATATTCTGCCTGAACATATTCCGCCTTTCCTCGCTCTCTATTCATCAGAATAATACATCTGAGAAAATTTTCCTATATGTGTTTAACAGACTACTTGCGGTTTCTATAGTTTTTTGCGTTGTCTTTGATAATTTCACCCTTCAGTGGTAATTCTGGGGGGCAGCCAGGATGCGATTGTCGATCAATATGTTCACTGAAATTCACCCACATGCTCGAATCTAAAGTTTCAACAGAGTTTCGAATGGACTCTCGAATAAAATTTGCTTTGTCTTGTCAGGCCTTCGCAGTCGGGAGTTATGATACAGGTGAAAAATATTGATTCGGGTACGGACAGGTATTTTTCTCCCGTGTTTTATAATAGTAAACAACATACTGGATAATGATGTGAGGCTCAACAGTTTTTCAAATGTCTTCCTTGGAAGGAAGATGCAACACTTGTACCCATTACATCAGAAGAGGGTGATAACAGGTCAGATTACTATTACACGAGATATGCTCCGATATCCAACGATGTGGGGGGTCGCTTCACAAGTGGACAATCATCGATCAGTCTGCGGTCCTTTAGACAGCTAAGCTTCATCAAAAGATAACGGGGTTCCTCAGATTTCGCTGCACTAACTATCAGTGAGCAGACATTTCCAGCCACCATGGGCGAAGGGTGCTTTGCCGAGTCCACGCGTGGCGCGTCGATTGCCAGACCCTTCAACAGGGTTCATAATTAATCAGACTACTTACCAGTAGTCAGATGATTATCCGAATTGGACTACAGCTTTCAAGAACAAAACAGCTTGGATTTGTTTCACTGTTAGCATGCGCGATTGCATTCGTTCAGACCTTTACAGCCCATAAACCAGGATGATCTTATGACTTGATCTGCGTCAGTGCCCAGTTGGGGTCACTAGAAACGGTCAAAAATTTTGTTAGGCTGAGAAAATCCATGCGAATATCTACTATTATGCGTTCGGTTCGTTACGCATATTTGTGTTAGTCTCAACCAGTTTTGTCTTTCGTTTTACAGTATCACAAGAAGAGGCTTACAACGACGACGGATGGGGCTGGATAGATGTGTGATCAATGGTTATCTTCAAGACGAAATACAATTGGATGGAAAACCGTTTTTCTCGCTTTCTGCGCTTTATTTTACTTCGCTTGTCGATAGTCTAGCCTGGATGGGGAAAATCTGGTGCACAAAATACCCTAAAGGCAAAGCGCTTTGTCTGTCTCTTTGTTTTCAAACTTAGAAAGAGCAAAATTTCGAATCATAGAACATCTGACACGAATCACTGTTGGTCTCTGAAGTGGAACTCGAAGGGGAAGTACTGAGACAAGTTCGGTACTTCTGTAGCCAACCTAGCTTAATACCCCAAGCTTAGTCACTTTTTGTAGCAGAGCAATGAGTAATCGTTGCTGAATCGATCGATGAGGTCGGTAACAAATGAAGTCAGCTGACAGTTCCGTTTGTCAATTTGAATGAAGATCAGGTGACAGAGTTCAACAAATGGATTTAGCGTTTGCATGGATACTCGCCATCTGAGTTCTGGGCGAAATCTGCTAGTAATTGGATGGATAAAAGAGTTCTAAAGAGGTGAGAAAACGTAGTCTTGGTGTTTCGGTGTCTCCATGGCTACTCCTTCCCGATTGGTTGCAAGGAGTCACGTTCTGAAGATGAGGTTTCTTGAACAGAATGTACAGTAAAGCAAAACTCTCACGTTGAAGGGAATCACTAATGCTTTTCCTACAATGATTTTGAAAGAAATGCCCCATTTTCTACCTGTGAATAGGCTAGTGGGACCTCGGTACATCTGGTCATGATTATACCACATGTTCACCGCTTCAAAACGCTGCCTAACTTCCGATGCTTCAGAATTACAAAAGTACCACACTTTGGGGAACCCCTTATTCCGAATCTTATTTTCCAACAGTATTTTGCAACCGATAAAAATTCACAAACTAATTTCCAGGATAGCTCCATCTATTATTTGAGTGGCATGTGAGTGTAGAGAGTAGATACACTAACGTGGGTGTTATAGGCCACAACACGTGACAGACAGGTTAGAAAACAACCTTATGAGTAGTACATTACAAATATGTACATGTATCGGATATTTCAAAATATCGCAGCGACTGAAACATGAGGTGGCCTGGTGCAGCACATTCAGTTTCCTGAAAACATCATAAACCAGAGATTCAGCTGGGTTCCAGGTGAGTCTCTCGAAAGAACAAAATTAGTTTGCCAATGAGTGTATATTCGCTAATTTCGTGCAATTTAGTTTCAAGTAGAACATAAGGTTGACGGAAACCCGGGGACTGCGCCTACCTGATGAGCACCAAAGAGGGCGAAACCGATCATGGGCTGTCGATGGATGTTCAGCAACCTTATGAGTAGTACATTACAAATATGTACATGTATCGCGATATTTCAAATATCGTAGCGACTGAAACATGAGGTGGCCTGGTGCAGCACATTCAGTTTCCTGAAAACATCATAAACCAGAGATTCAGCTGGGTTCCAGGTGAGTCTCTCGAAAGAACAAAATTAGTTTGCCAATGAGTGTATATTCGCTAATTTCGTGCAATTTAGTTTCAAGTAGAACATAAGGTTGACGGAAACCCGGGGACTGCGCCTACCTGATGAGCACCAAAGAGGGCGAAACCGATCATGGGCTGTCGATGGATGTTCAGCAACCTTATGAGTAGTACATTACAAAGATATAAAGTTATCCCTTTTTGTCCCCGTTACATACAATTCGGAGAGCAGTAGATGCGGTCCAAAACTAGAAGTCCAACAGTCGTCTGAGGATGGAGCTGGCAGACTGTTTCGGCCGGAACTCAGTCAGCCAGTCAGGTGAATAACATAAAATTAAACCGAGAGCCTTTCCCGAAGCTTTTACGGTTGGGAGTTACGTCTTCGAGTTGGTCCCTCACGGTTTGGGGTGAAGAGCCCACAACGTTTCCTTTTTGGGTCACCCTTTGTTATATGTCTGATTTAAATCAAATCACTGCGACAAACCAGGTAAGATAGAGGGAACATATAGCTCAAATCTCGAGGCCCCAGGTTAGATCTAGGATCAAAACTCCAGGCTTTCTTCAGCAAATCGGCCTCCGATTTCCAAAGTGGGAAAGATTCAGGTTGTCTATACTCCCGGATGGTCACACTAGGGACCGATAACGTTTTGATGAATTTTTGTGTCATATTCGAAAGCAATTAAACGGGCACCGGTGGTCGAAGCTACTTTTCTGGTGGTGTCGGTCGCACACTTGAGGTCATGTGCCACTGCCTCGTCAAGACCGTTCGCTCATTAGGCTGTGTTTAAAAATTTCTCATCAATGTGCCAAAATTGAAACGGTACATCTGCCGTAGCTCAGATCAGGCATGAGAGCACATCAAGGGGTTTGAAAAGGTCCGCTAAAGGCGCATACTAAGTCTGACCTACCGTTATTAATTTCAACAGTGATTTGTCGATCGTGTTGTCGGCAATCCACGGCCACGATCTCCCTTGAACTCTTTGAACGCATTACACCCTATCACATGTTTACTGAAGTTTACGTAAATCACGTTCGGGCGAGTCTCGACTTGGTTACACAAACCCTCTTTTCAGAGAATCGGGAGATTGGGGACACAGAAGTGGCATTCAGCAAGTTGCCTCCGACCACTAGGACCAGGCTACTGTAGGTGATTTTCCAACTCAAATGTCTCGCATAATTTTGTACACAAGCCGATGATTGAAAAGGCAGTGACCTTGAAGTCCTCTAAAATGAGCTTTCATTGAATTGGAAACAAGCCTCTTCATTTGAAGGCAAACCTCCAGGAGAACATAGGGCAAAATTCATGAGGTCCTGAGGTTGAGGGATAAGGCTGCTGAATGGGCTGTGAGCATGCGCCTCACCAAACTGCTGAGTTCTTATCCAGGAGGAAGAGGGATGGAAGTTTCCCATCTGTACAGATGAAGCCATGTCATCTAGCGAGCACATCCGCCTTGGTTGCATATGCCGGTTCCTTCCAGAATCAGTGCTTAATTTGGCTCACGTTTGAGCTAGACAGACACGCGTTTTGGAGTCCTGCCGAGTGTTACTCGAATTGTACCCAGCGAACAGGTTCTTCCACTTCCACATGTAGGCCTTTAGCTCTTAATCAATAAATGCTGGTTCCCTGGATGTCCTAAGACTGCTGAAAGTGAAAAGGAATTGATCCAAGTGACAATATGACGATCGCCAAATTCAGTCAGCCAGACATACCGGTGATCCACTCTGGAACGTCTTTTGGGGGAACAGTCAAGCCATCAAACGAAGAGGTTGGCGTGTGCATTAGAACATAGGTTCAAGATCAATCAAGAGGGGCTAAGGTATTATATTATTGAGCCTGAATTCAGAAGCATGGTTGGCTAACTTTGTAACGTAATACTCATAAGGTTGCTGAAAATCCATCGACAGCCCACGACCGGTTTCCCCTTTTTGGGGCTCATCATGTAGGCGCAGTCACCGGGTTCCCGTCAAACTTATGTTCTACTTGAAACATGAGGCGGCCTGGTGCAGCACATTCAGTCGCCTGGAAAGATCACAAACGAGGGATTCAGCTGGGTTCCAGGTGAGTCTCTCGAAAAAACAAATTAGTTTGCAAATGAGTGTATACACGCTTGGCTGAGTTTGAAGTCCGAGCCCAACTTGAGGCCAAGTGTGAAAAGATGTATCGAAAGCAGCACGAAAGAATTGCACATGGTTACTGAAATTATTCAGAACCGCTTCGATGAATCCACGTGCACTATTGCACGATTATTTTGAGCGTAAAATAACTAGAGGTTTCGCAATTGCGGTGGACGAGTTCAACGATCAAATTCAGATCCATCGATCCATCAAAAATCTTCTCTTAGGTCACCATTACGCAACACATACACGACGAGTAATGCAGGATGATTTCACCTGCTCTCATAGGATTCTCGTCTGACGCGATATATCAACCTGGTGTCACAAATTGGGAATGACCACCAAACCTCAGCCATTAAATCGAGGTTAAGTTCAACAATCATACAACCAACCAAACAAGACTTGTTCCTCAGAGTGCGACCATTAAAACAATTTTGTACCATTTATTGTACGAGTTATTTCTAATCCAATACAACCCGACATCCCTCTCTCCCTGCGATTCCGAAACACCCGTCACAATCAGGCACCGTTTCCTTAGGGGTCACTAGTGGAAACGAAATTTCGTTGTCCATATTTTGTTTTCTTTGGTCGGCACACCTTCGACGAATTGGTCACACAGCAACTGCTGGCGTCCAATTACGTCCAGACACGATCCAACCACTGATTCAAACTGATGAAGAACATGGTCGGTCGCATTCCCAGCACATCCTGGTCGCCTCGAACCGCTCAAAGCCCAACTGCGTTCGGCCTCCAGTTCTTCTGCATCCGCAACATTCTCGAAATCCTCCAGGAATGTCCGCGCATACCCATGCTTCAAAGGTTGTAACCACGGGATATTTACCTGTATCTTCGTGAGGGAATCAAATGAAGGGATGAAAACACTTCACAAAGAAGTCGACTATTAGCAAAAATACAACTAAGCGGTTAAAAGCTGTTGGACAGGAAAGTTAACCTCTCATAGGCACATATTTTT